TAAAATGTCTTTTTTTTTTGTCTTCTTGAAACAGGGTCTCCCTGTAGCCCCAGCTGGCCTAGAACTCACTATGTAGACCAGACTGACCTGGATCTTACAGAGATAGGGCTGTCTCTGCCTCCTGAGGGCTGGGATTAAAGGCCTGTGCCACCACTCCCAGCAAAATAAGTCCTTTAAAGAAAAAAACCTAAAACTAACACTCAGTGAGCACTGTACCTTCCCCTTTTCCATCTAGGGCTGGATCCTGGATGGCATCCCTGAGAATCGGGAGCAGGCGCTGATGATTCAAACCCTGGGGCTGGCACCCAGGCATGTCAGTGAGTAGCCCTGCCCCAGCCGTCTCATGCACATGTGTGGTACGTGCCCCACTGTTTGACACTGGCTGGCTCCCTAGCCTCCACCCTGGGTCCAGCCTCTACTCCCAGGGGGTTTCAAGGGCCTGTGATTTTCTGCAAGATAGAGATGCATTGGCTGAAATCCAGCCTCAGCCACAAAGCTAAATGTGGTCAGGGTTGTCATTAAGAAAAGTGGTGTTCCTTGTTCCAGGAACCCCGGGGGCCAAGGGACTCTCTTTAGGTAACCATGGGAAAAATGGAAGAGGCGAGTCACAGAAATGTTTACCCTGGTGTGACTTACCACAGTGAAAACTGACGGCCAGGGACTTGTTCAAACATGGACTTCCCTCAGTCGCGAGAGGATGTCTCTTTCAAGAATGGTTCAAGGTCATCTGGGGGATGGGAGACGTGGGAGGGGTGAGTGTCCTCGCACGTCAGATGTGAAGCGCCCACACCCAGGACGTCTGTTTTGTTCCTTTCTCCTCTGCCCAGTTGTGCTCAGTGCTCCAGACACGGTCCTGATCGAGAGGAACGTGGGGAAGAGGATCGACCCTGTCACTGGAGGTACAGCTGTCTCCATGCCCCACCCCACTGAATCTAGAACCAGTGAGAACAGCCCCAACCCCCAAGGGCCCACAGGCGTGAGGGGCTGGCTCGAAGCCACAGGCATAAGGAACAGAAATCCCAACAGATGAGGGCGTGGGTGAAGGGAGAACCAGACTTGGGGTAGCTTGTGCCTGGGGACTGGGGACTCACTTTTTGATGACAAGCCAAACACAGAATAAGGCAGAGGGCTCATGTCCCTCTTCCTGAGCAATTACACCCCACGTTCCTTGCCCTGAGTGACGAGGAGTGAGACTCGTTTCATTCCCTGAGGAATTAGGAACCCGCAGCCGGGTCTTTTAAGTCACCAGACAGTTCACCAGAGTTGAGAGATGAGAGACTTTGACAGGCCTTTCTTGGTTTGGTTCTTCCTCTGTGGATGAGTAAGAAAGTTCAGCTTTGAGGGTGAACTGAGTCTACAGGCCTGTCCTAAGGCCTGACACAAGGTCCCCATCAGATTCACAGCTGCCTTTAGTCCTGCACTGAAGGTTCAAAGGGGCCATTCCTGTTCCCTTCTTTATTTAAAAATTTTTTGACTTATTTATTTTTTAATTTTTTTTATTTTTATTTTATGTGTCTGCGTGTATTGCCTGTGTGTAGGTAACTGCACCCTTGTCGTGCAATGCTTGCGGAGGACAGAAGAGGCTGTTGGATCCCCCGGCACTGGAGTTACGGACAGTTGTTAGCTGCCGTGTGGGTGCTGGGATTTGAACCCAGGTCTTCTGCAAGAACAACCAGTGTTCTTAACCACTGAGCCATCTCTCCAGCCCCTGACTTATTTATTTTTATTTTATGTATATGAGTGTTTGCCTGCATATATGTAAGTGCACCTTGTGTGCAATACCTGTGGGGGCCAGAAGAGGGCATTGCTCACCCTGGAGCTGGAGTTAGGGATGGTTGTTAATCCTATGTGGGTGCTGAGAACCAAACCCAGGTCCTCTGTAAGAGCAGCCAGAGGTCACTCTTTACTGCTGAGCCATCTCTCCAGCTCTCCCCCACTCTTTTTTAAGAATTTAAAATTTTTTATTTTCAAAACAGTGTCTCATGTAACCCAGGTTAGCCTTGTACTCGATATGTAGCCAAGGATGACCTTGAACTTCTGAGCCTCGTGCCTTCACCTTCCAAGTGCTAGGACTGTAGGTCTGTACCACCATACCTAGTTTATGAGGTGCTGGGGATTGAACCCGACTTTGTGCATGCTAGGCAAATACTCGACCAACTGAGGTTCGTTCCCAGCTCCCCATTGTTGTTTTACTGTTACTAATAACAGCACTTGTTGAGGTTTGTGCATTATTGTTGTTAGTATGAACACACCAGCTAGGGGCCTCGAGCTGCCTCTGTCCTCCCTCCCCCACCAGACATCGCAGTGCCTGAAGCAGCCCTGGATGGGAACTCTAATCCTGTGCCTCTCCCTGCACAGAAATCTATCACACTACCTTCGACTGGCCCTCCGAGCCTGAAATCCAGAACCGACTAACAGAGCCAGAGGGCATCTCTGAGCTGGAGACAGCGCAGAAGCTTCTAGAATACCACAGAAACATCATCAGGATTCTTCCCTCCTACCCCAAAATCCTGAAGAACATCAGTGCTGACCAGCCATGTGTGGATGTCTTCTACCAGGGTAAATACAACAAACTCCTCTGACCCCACCTGAGGGCCGGAGCCCCTTCTCATTCCAACATCCCTCAGACTGGCAGCGGCCAGCAGCTGAGATGTGAGGGCCCTGAGGGTGCTCCTCAGAAACCCCGGGCTAATGTCGGACATGTAGATGTGGCCATATTTTCAGTCCTCAGAGAGTTGGACAGTGATGGGTTAGGAGGAGAGGTGAAGAAGGGGGTCCAGGGGGCGTGGTCGCAAACATTGGAGGTCTGCTCTTAAAGGAGAAGGGGGAGAAGTATAAAGGTAAAGAAGAAAGCAAACATAAGGGTCACAAACACAACGCAGGCGTGCTGAGTCCATGAGCAAGGCCCGCCATCGGCTCTGCACTGCCATCCACATCAGTGACAATGTTCAAGGACAGCCTTGCAGAAATGGGCTTCAGACACCCAAGGGAGGCGGAGAGGACTGCAGGGGATGGTTGAAGTCTCAGCCCCACCACACGCCAGCTGTGCAATCTTCGGAAACTCTCTGCTCCTCTGAGCCTCAGTTTTGTCACCCCTCAAGTGTGAACAAAACTTGTATGGGGAGTAAACCAGCCTCTACATTGTGTGTCCACAGCCACAGCCCAGCGCTGGTGCAGAGAAAGGGCTGGGCGCACGCCCAGTGTTAGTGCCGATGTTATTCAACATCCCATAGAAAAGGGTAAAGGGAGGTAGGCGTGGTGGAGGACGCTTTTAATCCCAGAACTCGGGAGGCAGAGGCAGGGGGATCTCTGAGTTCGGGGCCAGTCTGATCTATGACGTAAAGAGTTCCAGGCCAGCTGGGACTACGGCAAGGGGGAGTTAGGATAATTTTTCTGTTGTTTGTAAGACAGGTTCTCCATATGCAGCACTGTCTGGTAAGCCTTAAACATGGTGGCCATCCTCCTGCATCTGTCCCCCAAGTGCTGGGATTACAGATATGTGCCAACATATCTGACAAGTTAGACTAATTCTATCCCAAAAGAGCTGTGTGATAATATTTAAGTCTTGCTATCTCAGAATCTACTTAACTGCTTCCATCTGGTACCAGGCAAACAAAACATTTGACGTGTTTTGATGCAATAAAACAACATCAGACGTTTGAGGCCCTTGGTGGCTCAAAGCCATCATTTTCTCTTACGCACTTTCAAATCTCTTAATGAAAAAAGAAACTGGAACAGAGGGTGGGGTATGGTGCTTGCCTAGCACGCACGAAGCCTTGGGCTCGGTCCCTAGCGCCACGTGAAACCAGGCGTGCTGGTATCTTAACACTAGCACTCTGAAGATAGAAACAGAAGAATCAGAAGTTCAGGGTCATCCTCTGTTCCAGAGATTCCATGGACATCCTGGGCTACATGAGTGCTTAAAAAAGAAAAGAAAAAGGGGCTGGAGAGATGGCTCAGCAGTTAAGAGCACTAACTGCTCTTGCAGAGGACCCAGGTTCGATTCCCAGCACCCACATGGCAGCTACTAACCATCCTTAACTCCAGTTCCAGGGGAATCCAAAGCCCTCTTCTGACCTCCTCGGCATTACATGACATGGGTGCACTCACATACATGCCGGCAATACACTCATACACATAAAATAAAAATAATAAAATTTTAAAAAAAGAAAAAAGGAAAAAAAATCATTTTAAGCTGAGTATGGTGGCTCATGCCTGAAATGCCAGTACTTAGGAAGCTGAGACAGGAGGATGGACAATTTGAGGGAATCCTGGGACGTAAAGGGATACCCTGTCATAAAAATTTTAAATTGAAAAAAGAAAAAAAACCCAAAAAAGCCGGGCGTGGTGGCTCATGCCTTTAATCCCAGCACTCGGGAGGCAAAGGCGGGCAGATCTCTGTGAGTTCAAGGCCAGCCTGGTCTACATAGTGAGTTCCAGGACAGCTGGGGCTACAGGGAGACCCTGTCTCAAAAAAAGACCAAACAAACAAACAAACCAAAAAAAAAAAAACAACCAAACAAAACACCCACACCAGGGCTGTAGCTGTAACTTAGGTGGTAGAGGGCTTTCTTAGCATGCACAAGGTAAGCCCAGCACTTAGGAGGTAGAGTCAGGAAAATTAGAAGTTCCAGGTCACCCTCAGCTATATATCCAATTGAAGGCCAGTCTGTGCTACATGCCTTTTAAATTTTTATTTGTTTCTATGTGTATGAATGTTTTGCCTGCATGTATATAAGTGCATTTGTACATGCAATGCCCATGGAGGCCAGAAGAGAGCATTGGATTCCTCTTGAACTAGTTGTTAGCAGCCATGTAGGTGCTGGAAACTGAACCTGGGTTCCCTGGAAGAGCAGCCAGTGCTTTTAAACACTGAGCCCATCTCTCCAGCCGCTGAGACACTATCTTTAAAACAAAACAAACAAAAAACTCAAGTGCTTGCCTTGCAAGCATGAGGATCTGAGTTCGATCCCCAGCGTCCACATAAAAAAGTCAGGCATGGTGGTACCTGCTTGTAATCCCAGCAGTGGGGAGGCAGAGACAGGAAGATTACTGGGGTTTACTGGTCAGCCGCTCTAGCCTACTCTGCGAGTTCTAGGTCAGTGAAAGCCCTTGCTCCCAAAATCAAGGTGGACAGTTCCTGAGGTTGTCCTCTGGCCGCCACACAAATGGACACACACACACACACACACACAAAAGGAAAAGTTTTATTTGGTTGGGGAGTTGGTTTCTGTGCCAACCCTCTGCCACTCTCTCTGGCTGGGGCCTCTCTCCATTCTCTGAGGAAGGCTGTGCCACCATCAATGTGCAGGGTATCTAGAACATGGCGGTATTTTAGAAATGCCAGGCCTCATGAGGCTGCCTTGCGATTTTCCGCTGTTTTGCATCTCGGAAGGGTCTTTAATTGCAAACACACTCTTAGGATAAACATCTACCCTTTTTATCTTATGCCATGATTCTGAGTTTACACATTAATTACTTTCAAATTACTTAATTAAATTTAAAAGTCCATATGATTGTTCATAAAGAGTTCATGCCTGGAATTGTAAATAAAAATGTGAGCTTCTGAATATTAAGTACTATTAATTAATAATGTGGAGAGATAAACTGAAAAATTGGGATGCAAAGATACTCTGTGTTTTGCTTTTTTTTTTTTTTAATCTCACCACAGTGTATCCAGCAACCATATATTTCTAAAAAGAATAATTAGATGTGGAGACTGTCTGGGGGACCATTACTTCTAACGAACTTAGTTATTTACTGTAAGTTAAGCATCACTTGTAGGCAGGCTGCCTTGCCTGTATGTGCCTCTCAGAGACACTGCATTATGAAAGACCTGAGAACAGAGAGCCATTTGGAAGTCCCTCGCTTCTTGGAGGAGGAATGGCCCCCAGTTGTAGCTTTGAGAGACTTACCTTGCCTATACCAAGTCTCTGAACCTCACTGACTCATCTTTACAGCAGGACAAGAATCACACCTGCCTCGTGGAACTGCGTGTCAATCAAAAGAGTTAATACCCACAGAGCATCTAACTCAGCAACCCACCATACATTATCCATGGTGTGATGTAACCATGATGTTGACCACAGCCTTAGGGACAGTAAACTCTAACTTACCTGTGCTGTTAGCTCTAAAAAAGGGGACTGTCAATCTCTACTGACCCATCCACTAGAACAGTCCTGTAGAGTCCAGAGTTCAGGGCTGGGGAGGGGCTCAGTCAGTAAAGAGCTATACCATGTAGGTATAGAGGCTAAGGTTGGATTCCCTGCACCCACGTTTGAAAAAAACAGGAGCTGGGGAGATGGCTCAGTGGTTAAGAGCACTGGCTGCTCTTTCAGAGGACCTGGGTTCAGTTCCCAGCATCCACATGGTGGCTAACAACCATCCATAAACCCAGTTCCAGGGGGATCCAGTGCCCTCTTCTGACCTCTGCAGGCATTGCACAACACAGGTACACTACACACATGCAGGCAATACACTCGTACACATAAAAAATTTTAAAAATGGCTCAGCAGATAAAGGCACTTACCACCAAGGCTGACAACCAGAGATGGATCCCCAGGACCATTCCTTCAAGTGGTCTACTGACCTGCACACATGCATTATGGTGTGTGTGTGGGGGGTGCAATTTAAAACAAAGAATTTTAAGTCCAGCCTAGGCAGAGGCTGCAATCTCAGCACTGCGGAGGTAGGCAGGAGGATCCCTAGGGCTCACTGGCCAGCCAGTCTTGCCCAGCTGGTAAACCACAGGTTCAGTGAGAGTGGAGAGTTCAGTGGAGAGTGACTGAGGATGATGTCCACCTCTCGCCTCCACATGCAGGAACACATGTGCACACATGTACCCACACACACAAATATACACATGCATACACTTCACATTACCCCCCCCCAAATATCCCAGAGTTCAAAATTTGTACTGGTTCTCAATTGGGTTCAATTTTGCCTAACCCCTCTGCCCTGAAGGGGAGGGCATTTGACAGTGTCTGAACACATTCGTGGATCGTGCTATCAGCACCCAGCTGGCAGAGGCCAGGATGGCTTCCAGATGCCCATCCTGAAAATGCTTGCTAAGACATGTTTCTGAAGGAGCCCTGTTGGCCCTGCCCCTCCCTGGTCCAGGATTCTCTGGAAGGAGTTGACAAAGGCAGGTAAACGGGCAGGAAGCACCTATAACTGGCCTTGCACAGGACAGCCTGGGGCCTCACCAGGAGGTGGTTGGTGGGGCCTGGGGAAGGAGACCCTGGCTTGGAGACTGTCAGGATTGACCCAAGTCTGCAGCCTCTTTAGTGGACAGGTTCCAGAGGCTGCTTCTGGCAGCCTGTTCTCACCGCACTCCTCCTGTGGGTGGGTGCAAGAGGCGGGTCTGACGCGCAGTAGGCTCTTCCCTGAACTTTCTGGCATCCTGTGCCCCTCCCGCAGTGCAGTCTCCTCATTGTCGAAGATGTTCGCCAGTCTTTTCCATCTCTTTGTTCACGAAACGCCAGGGGCGAGGCACAGGTTGGGGACCACACGGCCGTATCTGCCTGCTCCTGTGACCCATTTCATTTCTGACTCTTTGGAGATTCTCGGCGAAGTCAGTGTCCCTGGAGTGTGGCTGCACAAATTATTCTCCACCAATTCCTGAGTCCTTTAGAAGTCCCTGCACACCAGGACCCCTCGCGGCCCAATGCTCTTATCAAAGTCTGTATCTGACACACAGCACATACCTCCCCTAGGAGACCAGCCTAGTCCCGGGACTTCAGTGGGGATGCAAACTGGAAACCTCCTAACTGAACAGCAAGATGAGTGCTTTCGTGTATAGGGTTGGCCTCCCACCTACAGCACACTCAGCCTGGGTTCAAGCTGGAGGAAGGACAGCTGCCTGAAGGGTGCTGCAGAGGGAATCCAGGGCCTTGGTGCCCAGGCCCTATTGTGAGTTCCTTTCCTCACGGCTTCCCCTGAGCTGGCCATGTGTGAGATCCTAGAGCGTCGCATGGTGCTGCCCAGGAGATACACTGCGACTGTGCGGCGCCCAGGCAGAGGTGCTGGCTTCCCTTCCCGTAGGACCTGGGTTTGACATTCTCACATCCTCTGTTCCAGCTCTGACCTATGTCCAAACCGGCCGTCGGTGCAATGCGCCGTTCACTCCCAAGGTGCTGCTGTGTGGGCCCTCGGGCAGTGGGAAGAGCCTGCAGGCCACTCTCCTGGCCCAGAAATATGGCCTTGTCAACGGTGAGTACATCCTGGGAATCACTGCTTCTAGAATCTTCTCGGCCTTCTGCCCTCCCAAGCTTTGACCTGTTACGTGCTGGTGGGAAAGGTCAGTACCAATTCTCTTTCCTTTTCTGGCTCAGAAATTTTTTTTTGAAAATTTTTAAAAAATTATTTATTATTTTTATTTTACGTGTATGCGTGTATTGCCTGCATGTAGGTAGGTGCACCCGTGTCGTGCAATACCTGCGGAGGTCAGAAGAGACTGTTGGATCCCCTGGAACTGGAGTTACGGACAGTTATTAGCTGCCACGTGGGTGCTGGGATTCGAACCCTGGTCTTCTGCAAGAACAATCAGTGTTCTTAACCGCTGAGCCATCTCTCCAGCCCCTCTGGCTCATCTTTTCCTCCCAGAGACACAACCAATAAAAACATGTCCACAGCCCAGAGAACTGGAACCTTTTCCAGCCATCATCTTTATTTATTATTTTTATTTTATGTGTATGAGTGTATTACCTGCATGTGTAAGTGCATTGTGTTGTGCAATGCTGTGGAGGTCAGAAGTGGGAGTTGGATTCCCTGGAACTGGAGTTACAGATGGTTGTTAGCCACCATGTGGGTGCTGGGAATGGAACCTGGGTCCTCCGCAAGAGCAGCCAGTGCTCTAACCGCTGAGCCATCTCTCCAGCCCCACCAGCCATCCTTTTTTTTATCTCCTCTGGGGTCCGCTTTCTCTGCTGCCCTCTGAGGTGCTTATGTACAGTCTCTGCAGGCTCACTGTCTGGGTGTCTCGGCTCCTACATAACAGACATCTCCTGCCATTTTATCTACTCCACCTTGCTAGGCTCCCCCAACCTAGGTCAGTGTGTGTACAGGCAAACAATTTCTGCACCAGAGGAAGACTCCTCGCTCTGTACAGTTCCAATAAATATTTTACCAGGCAGAGAGAAAAATATTGAAATTAGCTCTCCAGGTCTTTGGTGAGGAAGTCCCAGGCTATCTTGGCTGCTGGCCTGCATTCAGCAGAATGAAGGCTGGGGAGGAGAAGGACTTGGAAGAACTGACCTAGAGTGGGGCTGGGGGAAGCTAAAGACCCCGCCCCCGTGCACCACAGTCTACCTGACCTCCATCTGCTGTATACAGATCTGCATATACACACCCCAGAATTATACAGACATGCAAGGGTATCAAGGGCTAAAATATCCACATGAATGCCATCCTGAAAGAATTGTGTTTGGAATAAAATAAAAAAGCTTTTCATTTAAGTCTTTTCCAACTTAAAATTCTGCCCGCGGCTTCACCCACGTGTCAGTTAGGGGTCCGTACTTGTTGTCACCTGGCAGGACATGAAGAGGTGTGTTGGCAGGAACATCCACACAGAGGAACAGTCTCTTCATTCGGATCACTGTCTCTGTACCTCACTTTCTTTATGTGGGGACTCTCATTCAGGAAAAAATTGGTTTGTGTCTCATAAAGCCCAGGTTGGCCTCCAACTTACTATATAGCCAAGGACGACTTTGAAATCCTGATCCTCCAGCCTCTACCTCCAGAGTGCTGGGATTACAGGTATGCACCACCATGCCTAGTTTATTCAGTGCTGGCGGTGGAACCCAGGGCTTTGAGTACAGTATGCCGGCACTCCACCAACTGGGTGAGCTACAGCCCCGGCCAGGCCCAGCCCAGTCCAGCCAAAATGTTGCTTTTTTTTTTTTTTTTCTTAATTGCTTTCAGCAAGGTATTGTGGTATGCACCTGAATCTCAGGATTTGGGAAGCTGAGTCAGAAGGACCAGAATTAGAGGAAAACCTGGGCTATGTAGTGAGAGCCCCAGAGAGTGGGGCTTCTGCAGGCTATTCACGGTTGCACAGAGGTCGTCTCATTTTTTTTAAGCTTCATTTTATTTCTAACTGTGTGTGCTGGTGTGTGTCTATGTATGGGTAAAAGCATATGTGTGCAGTTGCTCATGGAGACCAGAAGAGGGCACTGGATCCTCTGGGGCTGGAGTAACAGGTGGTTGTGAACTGTCCAAAGTGGGTGCTGGGTGCCGAGCTCTAGTTCTCCGTAAGCAGCGAGCCCTCTTAATGCTGAGCCAGTTCTCCAGCTGATGTTTTTATTGTTGTTTAATTAATTTTTTTATTATTGTATACGCATGGGGGGGCGGGGTCATTCGTATCACAGAACACACACAGAGGCCAGAGGACGGTTTTCTCCTTCTACCTTGTTGTGGGTTCCGGGGATTAAGCTCAGGCTATCTGGCTTCTTAGCAAACACTTTATCCACTGAACCGGCTCACCAGTCTCTAGAGGTATTGTTGGTCTATGCAACAACGTATCAGAAGATGTGCTTTAACCAGCTGAAGGGAGCTAAGGCAGGAGGAAACATGGTTTTCTCCTTCTACCTTGATGTGGATTCCGGGGATTGAGCTCAGGCTATCTGGCTTCTTAGCAAACATTTTTATCCACTGAACCGGCTCACCAGTCTCCAGAGGTATTGTTGGTCTATGCAACAACATATCAGAAGATGTGCTTTAACCAGCTGAAGGGAGCTAAGGCAGGAGGAAACAGCTCTAAGCCCTAGAAGTCTCCACAAAGGCCTGTGGGGACCAAGAGTCCCAAGCAGTACCTGCTCCCCAGGAACAGTCTCCTGCTTGGTCCTAATCACCACATTGATGGGCCTGTAAGTCAGGGGAACACATC